TTTTTTTTTTTTTTTGAGTTGGAGTCTCACTCTGTCGCCCAGACTGGAGTGCAGTGGCTGCTCCTGGCCACTGCAGCCTCGACCTGCTGGGCTCCGGCGATCCTTCAGCCTCAGTCTTCCTAGTAGCTGGAATTACAGGCACGCGCTACCATGTCTGGCTGATTTTTTAATTTATTGTAGAGATGAGGTCTCACCAAGTTGCCCAGGCTGGTCTCGAACCTGTAAGCTCAGGCAATCCTCTCGCCTCAGCCTCCCAAAGTGCTGGGATAACAGGCTTGAGCTACCATACCCGACCCACAAAAGGATTTTAAGACAAACTGGTCAGGCACGATAGCTCGTGCCTGAGATCCCAGTACTTTGGGAAGCCGAAGAGGGAGAACTGCTTGAGCCCAGGAGTTCAAGACCAGCCTGGATAATATACTGAGACTCCGTCTCTACAAAAATGTAGAAAATTAGCTGGGCGTGGTGGCATGCACCTGCAGTCCCAGCTACTCAGGAAGCTGAGGCAGAAGAATTGCCTAAGCCCAAGAGGCTGAGGCTGCAGTGAGTCATGATCATGTCGCTGTACTCCAGCCTGGTCTCCAGTGAGACTCCTGAATCAAAATATAATAATAATAAAACTGACGCACAGCAAGCTGTACATTCCCTGAGAATTACTATGTGCAGTGAAGGCCATCTTAAATGTCACCTCCTCCGTGGCAACCTTCCCAACCACACAGGCATAATAACGTGGTTTCTCCTGTACCCACAGTTCTTTCTCATGCCTCATGCCTCTCGTGAATAGCACTTTGACTAGCTCCTATAATTAACCACAGGAACATACTCACTTCTCTCTCCACCTAACCCCCGCACTCCATAAGGGCAGGAACTATGTCTGGTTCTACCCAAAAAGCTTACTTAGCCCAATGCCTGACACAGAGTAGGTGTTCGAAAACACAGCTGCTGGACCGTTTGTTGATGTAACACCATCCTAAGGCCCAGAGATTTGCTCTGGGAAGCCCAACTACCCTGCGCCACCCCCTTGAGAGCCACCAGTGTGATTGCGTTCGCGGCCCAAACCTATCGCCCTGGTGACTGAGGGACTCAGCTAGATCTCTGGTCACCACTCAGGACGGCGACCCGTGTGGAACGCCAGGAATTCCTACATCTATTGACTGTGAAATCAGTTTCCTTTTCCCTCTTTGTAGAATTCAGAGATGGGCCATCTGGCCAAAGGATTGTCAGCAGCGGGCGATGGGGCCAACCAGTGACAAGTCAGGTGGCCCAGGCCTCCGGAGCGCCCCCACCTGTACCTGGTAAGCATGGTCGGCCTGGATGTGCCAGAAGGACCCCGGAGCTGACTTGCTGAGCGCCCCCGAGGGCAGGGC